GAAACCGTCTTATCACAATCAAACTGTTTGGTCCACCATGTGAGTGTTCTGCCTATGGGACTGAGTTTGCTGTGGCTCCTCGGACTTATGAAGTCATTTGGATGAAAGATGAAATGTTTCAACACAAATAAACCGTCCAGAGGACCTGACTTAACATTGCTGAACCCAGTATATCATTGTATACATTATAAATGTGCTTCTTTTTCAGTTTTACATTTATTGTGTTAACCAAATATTTTGTCTGACAAGCTGATCCAGAAAATAAATCTCTTTAAAACAGACATAAATAAAATAATAAATGCATGTTTTATTTGAAAGTTTTGAGACAATCAACAGGCTTTCTAAAAAACAAACAAACAAAAATAAAATAAAAATAATAAAAAAACACCTTCCACATTTTTCCACCATACCAATGTCTCTCCATTGCATCATTGTGTAAGAGATTATTTTAACAAATATTTACTTTTGCACAAAGCATGGCACTGTTTTCGGAGTATTACATTTTAGCCTCTGGACAACTAGAAGAACACGTTTATCAAATATTGGCAGATACTTTGATCAGCTGTTGTGGACCTACAGTGCCGTGCAAGATAAGCTCTGCATGGCTGAAATAGCAATTAAACAAACATGTATGCCCAAAGTTTTGTTTTTACTACAACAAAACTTTAGGATTTTAAGTAACTTCTGCATTTTGAGTTCATTTATTAATCATATTTTATTGTTGCACCAACCATCTGGGTATATGCTACTGATATCCATCCTTTCCACACACCTGGGACAATGACTAGTTTGGCAGCTTGAATGTGTGCAAGCCCTCCAGGGCCCATCAGTCCACATGTATTGCTCAAGGGAAGCATGTGACTTGTGCCATAATTGAGTCAGCCCAAAAAAAAAAAAAAAAAGAGAGAGAAATCAGTACTGATGGCACCACTCAGTACCCAGCAGGAGCGCTCTGTGCTGTATAGCCCGCCATCAAAAAGAATTGTGCCTGTTTTGGTTTTAAAAGTGCAATCTTTCTTTTTTAACATCATAAAGCCTGGGGTCCTGGAGGCAAAGGCGAAGACAGCTGACCAGAATGCTGAGAGCACCCTGGTGAGAGTGTTAGGTATCATGGTGAGAGATTAAAGTGGCAGTAGAGAGAATAGATAATAGAGGTTTTAGAGAACAATTTGGTACAAAAAGGAGCCAAATTCATCCTCTTAGTTTAAGTTGCTTCTTTTCTCTGGAGCTTTCCCTGAGGAAGATTCATGTTTCCTCTTGTTCTGTATTACCAAAGACTCTGTATTTCTTTGTCCAGCTCTTTTCCCACATAGGACAAACAGAATGATTTCCTGGCTCCCTTTGCTCGCTGACACAATGCATGTGACACAGAAAATTATTGATTTGCTATTGATCCTATAGGATTCCTTTATTATATACTATTTTGCTGTCATACGGGCTGTTAGGTCCCTGTATGACCGGTGTCAGAGCCTGGTCCACATTGCCAGCAGTAAGTCGGGCTTGTCCCGGTGAGAGTTGGACTCCGCCAAGGTTGCCCTTTGTCACCGATTCTGTTCATAACTTTTATGGACAGAATTTCTAGGCACAGCCAAGGTGTTGAGGGGATCCGTTTTGGTGGCCTTAGGATTGCGTCTCTGCTTTTTGCAGATGATGTGGTCCTATTGGCTTCATCAGATCATGATCTACAGCTTTCGCTGGAGCGGTTCGCAGCCGAGTGCGACGCAGCCGTGATGAAGATCAGTTCCTCCAAATCCGAGGCCATGGTCTTGAGCCGGTTAAGGGTAGAGTTTCCTCTCTGGGTCAGGGAGGAGGTCCTGCCCCAAGTGGAGGAGTTCAAATATCTTGGGGTCTTGTTCACGAATGAGGGAAAAATGGAACGTGAGATCAATAGGCAAATAGGTGCAGCGTCTGCAGTGAAGTGGGAGCTGTACAGGTCTGTCGTGGTGAAGAGAGAGCTGAGTCAAAAGGCAAAGCTCTCATTTTACCGATCGATCTACATTCCTACCCTCATCTATTGTCACGAGCTTTGGGTTGAACAAGATCTCGGATACAAGCGGCCAAAACGAGTTTTCTCCGCAGGGTGTCTGGGCTCTCCCTTATAGATGGGGTGAAAAGCTCGATCATCTGGGAGGGACTCAGAGTAGAGCCGCTGCTTCTCCACGTCGAGAGGAGCCAGTTGAGGTGACTCGGTCATCTGTTTAGGATGCCTCATAGACGCCTCCCCGGTGAGGTGTTCCGGACATGGGAGGAGACCCAGAGGAAGACCCAGGACACGCTGGAGGGACCATGTTTCTCAGCTGGCCTGGGAACGCCTCGGGATTCCCCCGAAGGAGCTGGACCAAGTGGCTGGGGAGAGGGAAGTCTGGGCCTCCCTACTTAGGCTGCTACCCCCACGACCTGACCCCGGATAAGCAGAAGAGGATGGATGGATGGATTTTGCTGTCACATAATATAAGAAAATTCCACTTACTTGTATTTGCCATTATTGTAAAATAACATAAATCACAAGGCCTAACCCTGGATATAAGTATCACCTTTTTTTTATATTTTTATTGGAAGGCAGACAAACACATGCTGGCATTAAAAGGTTTGGACAAAAAGGGGACTTTATAGCGGGACCTCTAGTGATGTCTGGCAACAGATTTGGAAGTGCGTAGATCCCCTGGGCCTGATACATTAAACTTTAATGGCTAAGACATATGTCTATAGATATATTGATGTATTTTGTGGAAGCTCATTTGGTCTCAAACCTGAGATAGTGAGCCAGATAATTACCACACCTTGTGCTGCTTTTCTTAAAGTGATAATTTAGAGTTTTTGAAGTGGGATTTTGTAGAGCAGTGAATTTGGAATATGATCCTCTGCTTGTTTCTGTATTCTAGTTTGTGTCACAGTAAGAGGAAAACAATGCTACTCTGTATGAGTTCCTAAAAATACCCTTTCCTTGAACTGCTTTGACAATGTTGATGTTTGGCTTGTTTTAGGTGGCTGAAATAAACGCTGGAATAGACAAAAGCAATAATCACAGAAGTGTGAGAATTCTGTTCAATTCGGTCCATTGCTTTGTCGAGTCTTTCTTATATCATAAACTAATTTATTTAATGTCTGTCAAAATGACTGTTTTGTGTTTGTACTTGAAATAGCAAGTGACGGTTACAAAATTGTGTTTGCTTTTAGATCTTTTTGTTGGTTTGCACTTTTTATTTATTTATTTTTTTTTTTTTATCCTAACGTTTAAAGTCTTAGCCCTAACAATATGCAAGAAATCAATAGCAATTAAAGTTTCTGGTACTTTTTTTTCCCCTCATGCTGAACCATTATTTTCAACTGTTGTGCTCTTTCAGAGATTATCAATTATAATAATTCACTTCTACCTAAATGGCCTATTATGTATTGCATTGTGATCGAGTTTATGAATAGGAATCTACATTATTTATGCTCCTAAAACAATATTTTGGCATATTGCAGAAACATCAACAGTATTATGTATAGCATTGGCTTCAACTTACTTGCAATTTAGAAATACTTAATATAGTAAACAACTGCATCCCTGATGTGATCTGTTGACAGCACACTGTAGAATTGGTTATGTGCCTTAAGCACAGCTTCTTCTATGTGCCCAGGAGATGTTGCCTCTTTGATTCTTCTTTCAAATATGCAAGCAAGCACTAAGGGAGCAGATTGTTTGTTCTAGATTTCCTGTGAGACTCCCACCTTGGGCTTAAACGGCGCAGTTTTGATGATTAGCAACAAAGTATGCTGCCGCTCATAAACCATCAGGGAAGAAAGATGGATCCAATGAATCTTCGTTTCCTTATTGCTTCTTCTTTATTAGGAAATAAATAAATAAATAAATCTCTTTTCAGTCTGTAACCACACTTCAAAAATGTTGTCCTTTCAGTGTGTACATGGACAAGTGGGTTTTTAGACAAACTTAATATCGCAGCGCAAACAAAGAAGAAAATGTGCTGATTCGTGCCGTCTTCTGTGTGGAGACTCAATAAAAGTCTTTGTTTTAAACAAGCAGCATTTTTGTTCCTTCTTGAACCAATTTGTCTACAGTGCTCAGTCACAAGTTTCCTTCTGATTTATTTGATTTGTGTGGGGTGGAGGATTATATTTTATTTGTTTCTCCTTGGTTTATAAAGTTGACCAACATGGTGTTTGATAAAGAAACATGTCTATCAACCATCTACACATTCTGACATTTACAAACATTTTGGCCTTCACAATCAACTGGTTGGTAAAATGTTGGTTTTAACATAGTCTGTTGATAGAAAACATACCTTAGCATTATGTGGTCCCAAAAGTGTAATACCAATCACATGTGCTAAAAAATAGCTAATTTAATTTAACATCAATTTAAGATTCCAAAGTTGCACTTAGAACAAAAATAAATAAAGTGCATAGATCAAGTCCAGATCAGTTGTATTTTTTTATATATTAACATTATCAGATATATATAGATTTTTTTATTTTTTTTTTGGACACAACATATTTATCTTTTGAGGTTTCAGTAAATGCATTACTGTAAAAGGTCAAAGCTATTCAAAATATGTAAAACTGTATTTAAAATATTTTTGAAGTTTCATTTGGTTTGTTGTAGAGGTTAGATCAAAATTGGAAACTGTACTTATTTATTTATTTGTTTACTTATGTATGTATTTGTTTGTTTGTTCATTTACTCATTTATTAGTTACTTAATTAATTAATTCATTCATTTATTTATTTTACATTTGTTAATATCCTAATCATCTTGATTTAACTTTTCTCTGGCACTTTATTTTTTATTTATTATATATTTTTTTAATATGGCCATGTTCATTGGTTTGTAAAATCTCACAAACTATTTTGATACAAAATACAATGGTTTTAAATTTAATAACAAACACTGTTTTTATTATGCTATACAATGAGTATTAGCACTGTAAATGATGTGCATGTTTGATACATTGTATCACATTTTCAAGTTTTCTTTATTTTCTTGTTTTGTCTTCCAGTTAAAAAAGACGTGAGTGATGAAACTGATAACAAAGTTCCACAATTCAAGAAAAAGGCAAAAGAACTTCGTATCCTGGACGCCAAGACAGCACAGAATCTTTGTAAGTTGATACATAACCTTTTGTTTTTCCAGCCTCAAATAAAATATATATTTTTAGCATCATATTTTATCCCCATAATATCCGCAGATTGTTCCTAACACAGCACTCAGCAAAAGCAGATTTAGCTTTCATTTAAACTGTGCATGTCAATAAATCTGTACAAGTTCATTCTTCCCACTGGTATGTTTTTAGTATGTGTTGGATTCCCTTACAACCTTAGCATTTTTTTTGTATGTTTAATGAATTTTAAATAC